AAAAAAAAAAAAAGAATAAATTGCATAAGCATGTAAAACTTACAAACCAAGACCTGGCGCACACAACTCAGTAACTGTAACCCGTGCTTGCTATTACTTTACTGGCTCTGTTGTTATTACTTTATTATTTTATATTATCCATTTCTGTTTATGGTCACTGTGTCTAGTGAGTTTAGTTACTATGGCAGAGCACCACAGACGAGGGGGCTTAGGTAGCAAATCTGTGTTTCTCACAGTTCTGGAGACTGGGAGTCCAGGATATGGATGCCAGCCTCGTGAGGGTCAGATGAGGTGCTCTTGCTGGTCTACAGACAGTTGGGAGCTCCTAGCGTCTGTCTCCCTTTGAGAGAGAGTTCACAGTCTCCCTCTTGTAAGCACACTGACACCCTCCTATGAACCGCCATCGTGTCCATTGTCTCCTAAGGGCACTGACTCCTAATAAGGTTCCCTTGTGGGTGGGGCTTCAACATGCAAGCTTTACAAGGACAGAGACCCGAAGTCACCTCGCCCTCGACCTTAGGTAGCTCGGTGCTTCTGAGCGAGAAAGGGGAGGCCAGGGTCTAAGTGGGTCCTCTTTCTCATCAGCCCGGAGCCAGGCCACCACAGAGTCCTTCCTAGAAGACTCCGTGCTAAGGGAATATGGCCCAGTGCAGCAGTGCAGTACTCAAGACTTCAGGAGGTGCCGTCGACCTGTCTGAGAAACCATTGACTAACAAGATCCTCTCCAGTTTGAGGACAGAGTTTATTTACAGCAGAATATCATTGGCAATGAAGTTCTCATTGAATTGAAGATAATAGTGTGTCATAAAAATTATCAAATATCTAATGGAAAACATGTTCCCTCTCTAATTTTTCAAATAAAATCTTCAAACTATAAAATTTCTGATTTCCATACAAATTAAAGTTAAACAGATCTATTTAAGCATATGCTAGGAAAAATGTATATACTTTCTGTGTCAGTTAGCACTTCCTTTTTTTAAAAAATAAATCACATTTTAGATATTTGAGGTATGCATTATGATATTATGGAATACATGTAGATAATTAAATGGTTACTGTGATGAAGCAGATTGAGGTATCTGTCCTCTCACAGGGTTGCATTTCAGTGGCAAGAGCAGCTAAAATGTGTTTGTTTAACAAAAAAAAATTATATCCTTAGTACAATACAATTTTACAAATTTTAGTCCAGCCATCGTACTTTATCTTTTCAGGTTTGTTTTGTTGTTCGGGTCTGGGGATTGAACCAGGGTGGTTCACGCTGAGCCGCATCCCTAGCTCCTCCTTCTTGTGTTGCAGTGGGTGCTGTGAGCCTCTGGATTGTGGAGGATGAGCTCGTGCTGTCCTCCTGCCTCAGCCTCCCAGAGTGTGGGGATTATTATGTGCCAGCACATCCGATGTTTTGCAGTTTTGTGTGTACACATATTGAATAGATGTACGCACTTAATAACCATACCTGTCTGACAGAACACAGGTCTTGGCCCAACATCAGTAAAGAACATTCTTTTACTGTTACATTTTCTAACAGAAAATTAGAAGGAATACTGAGAAAAATCTATTTTGGATGGATAGAACTTAATGAAAATCAGAACTTTCTGTGATAAATTAATGTTATTATCTGTTGGTATAGTAAATCAATATTGAGTGTATAAATGTAATGTTTTAAAATGTTTTTTTTTTCCCTCAAAGATATTCTGGAGTGTGTACAATAATATCCCTCCTGTGACTAGCCTGCCTTTGAGATGTAGCTACCATTTAATGAGAGGAGAGAGGCGACCACTTTGGTAAGTGTCTGATGTGTAATGTGAAGTCCAGGTGGGAGGGATGTGGTTGTGAACCGCACGAGAGGTCTTCTCACTGTGGATGTCAGTGAACCCACGAAAGTCTGCCAGTCATGACTGGGAGCCGAAGCCTGCAGGGACGTGTCCTTCCTCCTTTAATAGCTTGCTTGGTACAGTGATGATTGCCAGGATGGAGTCTAAAGTAGTAATCCTTGTAACACATCCTTCAACCTTTCTGAGTCATTTGCACCCTAATAAAATGGAAATCTGTCTCATCTCATATAATAGCAAGTAGCAGAAACCAGAGACAAGCAAAAGCCAGAATAACTTGGAGCCGAGAACTGAGAAGACCCCAGGCGGGCTGATGACCTGCACAGCTGGCTTCGTAGATGTTCTCGGGACCCTGACACCCTTTCTCTGTTTTCCTTTGCCTTCCTCTGTGCTGCTAAATTTGCAGGCAGGTTCTCCCATTTGTGGTGGTCAGTGATCATCCTGCATACCATTCATACACCTTTCAAGTTTACCAGTGTCAGCATTCCCCAGCCACAGTAAAATCTCGGGGCCAGCTGTCATGGGCCAACTGTGGGTCACCATTCCATCCCTGGCCTGTTACAAACACTAGGATTCTCCAAGGTGAGCTTGCATCACAGCTCCTCTTTAAAGCTAGGATGTGGAATCAACACTCACCTCTGTCAACAGGACTCACATAAAGCCAGAAGGCAACTGGCACCCTAAAGGGTAGCTCGGGTGCTTGAAGCAGATACTAAGCAGAGAGATGCAGCAGCTGTCCACCAGAGGAACATAGCTTGGTTGATAGAGATGGTGTGACGAACATGATTTGAAATGTAGCAGTCTCCACACCCAAGAAGTAGTTACGTTAGTTGTCCGTCTCCAGAAGGGTCCAGGGAGCCTCTTCTCATCTACTTGAGAATAAGGGCCTCAGTCCCATCACCCTCCCACCTGCCCTCATCACTATTTTCTTATAGCCCCATCTGTTGTTTTCCTTTTTCTTTTGTCTGCTTTTGTTTCTAATCAGCGGGTGGAGTTACTGGAAAATTGCCTGGCTGTTTTAGTTTTAAGGTCATCTATTAAGCTAACTGTATATACAAGTAGCCTAAATGTGTACAGAACTAGCTAGTCATTGAGTGTAACTTTAAACATTGGTCTCTGATGCAGGGAAGAGGAGAGTAATGCGAAGGGTGGTGTATGGAAGATGAAAGTCCCCAAGGACAGCACGGTAGGTTGTTCTGTTTCCCACATCTGGCTGAGTGTGGGTTTGGTGCTAACTGCATGTCCTGAGCATCCCGTGCTTCACAGAGAGCCTGCCTGGAAGTCTGCTCTGGGGCCTGGGATTGCCATACTCACTTCTGACCTTAGGGATACTTCTGTCTTACACTTGTGACCTTGAAAGTCTAGTGTTGTGCTTCCCTATAGAAATGGTGTGATTGTGTTGTTGTATCATGTAGTTTTCAAGGGCTGAATGTCTGTATGAAATGGGATCAGAGGATACAGTGTGTTTAAAATTTTAAAAATTTCTTACAATAAAAGACATGTTGCCACTAACCTCCCTTAAATGCCCCCCAAATGCTCACGTGTAGTTCAAACACACTTGTTTCTTCATCCTTGCCCCTTTTTGAAGTAGTTCTGGAAGTCTCTCAGGGCAGTATTGTAGTTGCACTGTTTTGACTGCCTCTGTGTCTTCAGTTGGTTCAAACTTGACCTTTTATGGTTTTATTTTGAGTTTGGGGAAAAAACAGAAGTCTCCTGGTGCCAGATCAACAAGAAACATGGTGGGGACACGCCACAGTGTCTTCATGAGCCTGCCTTTCTGTTGGATGACACTCAGCAATAGCAGTCACCACATTCTTTTAAATCACATTTTGTAAAAATATTCATGAAGGAGGAATGCCATATAGAGTGGCATTGTGGCCCTCTATATGAGGTTGGGGGCAGCTGAGGCCTTTTCCGCCTGCTCCCCTGAGTGCCGCTCCAGCTGCACTGCGCTTGCTCACTCTGAGTTCCTGGCTTCTGCTAAGCTTGTGTGGCCAACACCTCCCTCAGCCACCATCATGAATATCTAGTGAGACCTCATCAGCCATGATGAGATGTTCTCTGACGTTTACAAGATCCAAGAGATCGCAGACGGGCTATGCCTCGAGGTGGAGGGCAAGATGATCAGCAGAACCGAGGGTAACACTGATGACTCACTCATTGGTGGCAATGCCCCTGCTGAAGGCCCAGAGGGTGAAGGCACCGAAAGCACAGCAGTCACTGGTGTAGATATTGTCATGAACCATCACTTGCAGGAAACCAGCTTCACAAAAGAGGCCTACAAGAAGTACATCAAAGAGTATATGAAATCAATCAAAGGCAAACTTGAAGAACAAAGACCAGAAAGAGTAAAGCTATTTATGACAGAGGATGCACAGCAAATCAAGCACATCCTTGCTAATTTCAAAAACTATCAGTTCTTTATTTGTGCAAACATGAATCCAGATGGCATGGTTGCTCTCCTGGACTACCGTGAGGATGGTGTGACCCCATTGATGATTTTCTTTAAGGATGGTTTAGAAATGGAAAAATGTTAATGAATTCGATGGTAACCTTGGATCTGTCACTTATCATAACTGGCTGCTTCTTGTCATCTACACAACGCTAGGATTTTAGACAAATGGGACTGATACCATCTCGAAGGCTTCATTTATTTTGACCGTGACTTATTTGGAGTAGAGGTGGTGTTTTTTGGGGAAAAAAAACAACAACACATCATGTAGTTTGTCTAAAAATAAACTGCCTTTAAACTCATTTGAGAGAATGCCTCTTAGTTTAATTCATATCCAAACTAAGTCCATTGTAGTGTTCGTGGAGAAGCTAGAACCTGGTGAGAGCCCACTGCTGAAGAGCATGAGACTGTCTTCAAATAACTTCTGCAGTGGAGCTACTTCTGAGACTGGAATATAAGACAAGAATCAAAGTTTCAATTCTGAGTTGCAGAGAAAGGAAAGAGTCTCCGTTCATAGCAGTGCCAACATTTGAAGTGCAGCCTTACGTATTTCAGCACCTGTGATGGAAGTAGTTAACACTGGACGGGATTACCAAAAGAATGAAAAGACTTAACTCAGGTGGGGGGAAAAAGTGGCATGGTGATGAGTTAAGTTTGATCAAATGAGGAGTGTTTTCAGGGGGATCAATGGCAGTGTACCTTTTACTGTAAAAAAGTTAAACAGTCCCCATATTTTTTGATCAGCCCTTGTGAACGTTACAGGAAATCTACTTGTCCTGATGAGCCCTTCGCTCATAAGCCATAGCTGACATGTGGAAGCTGGCTTTCCACGGAGGGAAGAGGGCCCTTCCCACCAAAAAGCACATCCCCACTCTGCTGGAAGGCAGAAGCACTCTGGTGACCATGGAACAGAAAATGGGGAGCCTCAGGGGTCTCTCTGCTCTTCGGGATTCCAGCCGAGCCTGTGCCCACATTTCATAGGGATAGGCTCTTGTCTACCATACTGTCTAAAAATGAAATTGTCACAGGCAAGGTCTGAGGATCCCCATGTCTGAAATAAGCAGTTTAATCCACCCTTTACAGCACGTTCACAGGTTCACTGACTCCCATAGAGGGAAAAGCACTTTCAGACTGCATCAGTGAAAGAAGTGTGAGAAGGATTTATTAGGATGCACTCCTGAGCAGATAGTGGGTGCTTACAGAAATGAACAGGACACAGCTGGAAATGGGGGTCTTCTCTGTGTTTTTGAGGGGTGGAAATCTGGAACTCAGAGATCTGCAGTATCACTCTTAGTCTTAGAGATTGTGAGAGGACAGCCCACCCCAGTGATCTCTTCCCATGGGAAATACCAAGAAGGTGGTCCTGCGAGGGTGACCCAGGACCATTTGCAAGTGAGGGGAGCAGCAGAGCCCTTTGAGGCTGCAGGGAGTGACACACATTTGCTATTTGGAGAGAAGGAAAAAAAGAAACTGGACTTGTATTTTAAAGCTTAAGAGTTTTCATTAATATACATTTAAAAATTTTTTTGATTTTTTTTTTTTTTTTGGTACCAGAGATTGAACTAAGGACCTTATGCTTGCTAGGCAGGCACTTAAGCCTCTGAGCTATCTTTCCAGCTCTTTGTCTCTATTCTACTATTTCTTCTATCCTACCTCGAAATGAGCATTAAAATTGCCCCTCTTAAGCCCTGCAAGCCACAGAGCTCCAGTGAAAATGGAGGAAAGTGCAGATGCCTTTCAGGCTCACATTTTTTGTAGCTTTTTTTTTCTTCATGTGGATGAACTCTAAGATTAAAATGTCTCCAAAAACTCACATGCATGGGCTAGAGTCATTTCCCTATGAGCACATACCTGAGGGCATGACCAGATTTCTTTCCAGGGGCATATTAACTCAAGATGTGTAACTGCAGCTGACAGGGGGACACACGCCTATAATCCTAGCACCCCGGGAAGCTGAGGCAAGAGGCTCATGAGTTTGAACCCAGCCTGGACAACTAAGCAACTTAACAAGACCCTATCTCAATAAATAAATAAATAAATAAGTTCTGGTCATGTAGCTCAGTTCAAAAGGCTGTAGGTATAGCCCCTAGTACCCCACCAAAGTATTGCTCCAAGATTTGATAGGTGCTGTGCTTGGCGTACATAATAAAAAATGTCAAAGGAACAAATAGCACACTAGGCATAGCCCATGAAACCCTTCTATCCTCCTAAAAGAGTAAAGCAGAGAATATGTGAGAGAATGCAAGAATGCTTAAAGCTTAGAATGCCTTTTGCCTGTTCATGTTATTTACTTGTGCTAGCCTTTGAATTCTAGTGGAGGCGATATAGGAGAAATACACGTAACTCCCAGCCTGCTAGGTCTCAGGTACGCTGAGTTCATGATTCTGAGAACTGAAGAATGAATTCTAAGGAACAGTGAAGTGTAAGTGTAGGAAGTATTTATTGAAAGAAAGAGAGATAGCTCCTGAGAGAGTGGGGACAAAACTGTGATCAACCAATAAGATGACAAGTTTAGGCGCTTAAGTAATATTGATCCAATGAGGAAGCAGGTCACATGGCAATTGTGCATGGAAAGAAGAAGGGCCTTTTCAGAAGAGATGTCCCTATTGGGAGGGTCTTAGTCACTCACTAGGATGACATGTTAATTCATTGTTCCTCTCTCAGGGAAGCATGTAGGCCTGGTCATTTTGTCTTTATCCTAAGGCCTGGTCTTCAGTAGCTATGCCGTTAGCCATAGTTGCAATGTGTTTGCATGCTCTGTATGGACTCCGAGAGCCTAGCTTGTCTGACTGTCTGTAATAGTTTTATTTAGCTTAGCTGTCTCTAACAGAAGCAATCATGCTGTTAACCTTCATTGAAAAGTAGCTACAGGGTAGCTACTGTCTTGCCACATCCCCTCTCAGTCAGCTGCCATGTCTGTGCAGGCTCCCTTGTCCCAGGCAATTCAGCTGCTCTCACTCACCACCCTCCCTCGAGCTGTGTGGTGAGGCTCCCCTCCCTGCATGTGACACAGGAGAGCTGTCTGCCCGCTCCTGACATCTTCTCCCCAGCCTTGGCTTCATCTTGAATGAAGGATAAGGTCAAAGCTGGGCAGATAGAAAGTGAATGCAAGCATTTCTAGGTGGAGACTAATCGATGACATGCAAGGGTCTTAGGAAAGCAAAAACCAAACCCTCCTTGAGGTGAACGTCACCTTTCAGCTGCTTGGTTAACCGCCACTGCCTTGGTTAAAAGATCGGCACAGCTGCTGTAGCCTCATTAGAACATAATAATAAACATTGTTATTGTAGTTAATGTGTACTGAGTGCTAGCATACAGCCTATAAGCGGCTATTTATGGGCCAATTTTATGTGTTGAGTGCATTGATTGCAGTCACGGTGCTAAGTCCTTTGAATGTTTTTCCTCTCTAATTTTATACTCACAGTGACCCTGTAGGTCAGCCCTATTATTATTCCTTTGTTTACCCAAGGAGACTAGTGCTCAGAGAGGTTGGTAGACTGCCCAGGTCACAAACAGTAAGCAGCATCTCAAAATTCAGACAACTTTGGGAGAACCCAAAGCCTGTGAACTGGCACGCAGGGTAAATGGGACCAAGAGCTTTTCCAGGGGAGGAACTGAGAGCACTGTTGGTTCCAGCGACCTGTGAGAGGATTCTCACTGTTGGTTAGATGGTGTTAGCAGTTGTGTATAGAGGGAGCCCAAGCCCTGTGCTTCATGCCAAGACTCTTCTGTACAGGAAACTCGTGTACAGTTCACATAAACCCACTACTTAGTATAAACAGGCTGTCTCCAGTGAATGGGCTTTTGCAGCTCTAGAATTCAGTAAACAAGAAATTTCTTTATTTTTTTTTCTGGGATAACTTTTTAAATACCTTATCGGATACAAGAAAAATGAAGAGAAGGCTTTTGCAAATAACACTCAGATATACTGAGCTGGTACATTTTAAATCAGCAAGAGGTAAAGAAACCAGAAAAGTGTAAGTCCTTTCAATAATTTTTTCCCAATACTTCTGACCTTCATGAGGGTTTCAATAGCAGTCAGCTTTCACAAGACTTCAGACCCCTACACTTTGTCCGGGTGAAGTTATTTGTAAGCCAATCTGAAATATGCCCTCCTCAGAAATGTTTATGCCATGACAGGGACATTTCCGAGTCCTGCTGTGGGTGTGGAAAGTACGTGTGAAGTTGAGAAAGCTGTAACTTGTTTGGCTCCTGAAGATCATTGTCTAAAACAATGTGTGTTTTGTTTATGTTTTGATTTTTACTCTTTTTCCACATCAGTCCACAGTTTGGAAAGAGCTGTTGTTAGCAAGTATCGGGGAGCAGTTCACAGACTGTGCCGCAGCAGGTAAAGAACCCTGGTTCGGGCTGCCTGTGCCTCCTGTCTGTTTCGCCCCTGCTTGTTTCTTGCAGAAGTTTGATCTCGTGTATTACAGTTTCTGCATGCTTTGAAAATGTTCTTTTTGTAATTGTGAAGCTAGATTTTTTTTATGTGATTGCAATGTTCAGTGGAAGATGTGTGTGTATTTACATATGTATACAGTCGACTCCTGTATGTGGGTTCTATACCCACAGTTTCAACAACCACAGATCGAAAATATTGGAAAAAACAGATTGTGTCTGTATTTAAACACATACATATGCTTTTCTCCTTGTTCTTATTCCCAAAACAGTATGGTATAACAACTGCTTACATAGCATTTATGTTGTTCAACCAATCACAGATCAAAAACATATAGCATTTTATAAAACAATATGGTATAACAAATGTTTACATAGCATTTATGTTGTATTAAGTTCTTTAAGTATGGAAAGTCCCCAACTTAAGAACATTTCCAGTTGCCAACTTTTACAGCTTGAATGGACCTCGTATTATGAACATTCGTTGGTTCAAGCAGATCCTAGAAGTAGCTCGCATGTCTGCTGGACATTATCACAGTTGTACGGCCGTGTGCTTACTGTACAGTGTGACACTATACAGTTAGAGCTCAGGTTATCCAGAAGCAAAAGGAAAAGGCGTGGTGATGTGGAGGAGACTGCTAGGAAGCACAAAGGAATAACCATGAAAAAAAGTGAAAACAATTGAGACTGGACCGAGGCTAAAAGATGGTACACATCACTCATTCATCACTCATGTTCATCACATGAACCATTCAGCCATTGGCACAATTCTAAAGAACAAAGACAAGATCATGCGAAGTTTTTTATGTTTTACACTGTATGTTTGTATTAGAAGTGTAAAAGACTCACTCTGGAGGACTTAGGAACGAATCCCATTTGTGAACTCATTGCTAAATGGGGAAATGAGTAATGTAATCTAAAGATCTTTCAAGGAATAAGGGACGATCTACGGAGATGCTTCGGCAGGCAGATACCTTGAGCATCCATGAGTCTTGGGGCGAGGGATACTGGAGCTGCTTCCTGTAGACACCAAGGGACGACTGCGTATTATGTAGAGTCTGCCCAACAATGTGTACATCAAGAAAAGAAAAAACTTGTATAAGTATTTTCATACATTTATTGACACATCCTGAGATTAATAAAAATTACCTTTGGCCTCTACAATTATAACAGGTGTTCAGAGTGGTGGCCATTAGCTTCCAGACATTTATTAGTACAGTGGATTCTGTATATATGAATGTACATGCATCTATACATATTTCATTTCATAGCTCAGTATTATCCATATCCATCTGTCTAGAATGGCAGAAAGAAAAGGAGACCTGCTGCCAGGCAGGAACTTCACACAGAGGTGGCAGGTGCCTAGTGGGGCTGGAGGTGGGCGGGCACACATCCCTCTGTCCCTCCCAGTCAGCTCCCTTCCTTCTATGTGTCTCCTGATGCTGTTGAGAGGTAGGAAGGGATGCCCTCGCTGGTTCTTCCCGTCAGTCGTCCTGTAGCTGGGGAGAAAGCAAGTCCTCGGGACCTTCCTACAGAGACTGTCTTCAGAGCCTGAGTGGGCTTCTAGGAGCCCCTTTTGGCACTTTGCTGTGTTGTTTTGTTTTTAGTGCTGGGAAAAGAACCCAGGGCCTTGAGTGTACTGTGCTGAGGCCCTCTGCCACTCTCTGTGTGAGCACTTTTTGTTTTGCTTTGTGTTTGTCATAGAGTCATTCTAGGAGAAGTTAACTGCTACTTAAAGGTTTGTTTTCTTCTTCAGTACCTTCTTTTGAATGCTCCTGAGGTCAAACTTAGAATAACATTGTTTTCCCCATTCAGCTTTCAGTTAGGTTGTTTTTAAAAAAATATTCTTCTACTTGTTATGAATTTTTGCTTGTTGGTTGAATCCACTGGCCCTTGATCCCTCAGCTGGGACAGTCTTAGAAAGCCCCTTCCCATTCTGTGACAAGTTTGCATTCATCTCTGTAGCATTTCAGTAGTTCTATGTTTTTTTGCTTATGCCTTAAACCACTTTTTATTCACTTATGACAAAGCTTAGGTTAAGATAAAATTGCCTTTAAAACATAGAATCCTTCTGTTTCAGTAGAGGTTGTTAGCAACTTTATAATATGCAGCCAAAAGTGTATCGTATATAAAACTATAAACATAGAAACTTTCTCTCCCAGAGAGAAATCATTCCTGTATGAATTAGTCCTGTTTCCAGAGCTAGAGAAAATAGTCTAAGTAATAATAAATCTTCAGAAGGGCCAGCCAGCTTAGTGGATTAAAGCGCCTGCTTAGGCAGACACAGGGGCTGGGATTTCTATCCCCAGTGTGTCATGCCAGCCCCACCCCCAGGACATGCTGAGACAGCAGTTGAGACTGGGCGTGGTGGTGCACACCTATAATCCCAGTGCTTGGGAGGCTGAAAAACAGGAGCATCACTACAAGTCCGATCTGTGTAGTAAGGCCCTATAGACCCTGTACTAAATACAGAAAAAAGAAGTAGTAATAAATTTTCAGCATTGTGTAAAGAAGACAAATTGTTTTGTGGCTGACTTAGGAAGTAAGACAACTGTTAACTGTCAATTTGTTGCTGCTTGAAGCATGACAGCTAATCTTTGTGGGTTTTTTTTTTTAACTTTTTTTTTTGTTGTTGTTGTTGTTTATTTGGTACAGGGTCTCACTACGCAGTTCAGACTTGTAGTGCTCCTCCTGTCTTAGCTTCCCCAGCAATGGGATTACAGGCAGGCCCCACCATGCCTGGTTTCTGGGCTGGCACATTGCACCCAGGGTTCCAGGGTCAGTGCGGCATGTGGTACCAGAGATTGAGCCCCGGTCCTTGCGCTTGTCAGGCAGGTGCTTAGACTGCTGAGCTATCTCCCAAGCCAAATCAGCTAGTCTTTCTGGATTTTCATCCTATCATCTGTAAACAGTGACTCCTCCTGTCTTACCTACCTGTCTCATGCTGCCTGTACCCAAAAGCCATCCATGTTTTGCTGGTTGATTCCACTTACGAATGTTACATGTTAGCTGGTGGTCCTACCTTTGTCCTGCAGTTTGTTTGTTTTTCTTTTCTTTTTTTTTTTTTTTTTTTTTTTTTTTTTTTGGTGGAACCGGGGATTGAGCTCAGGCCCTTGCGCTTGCCAGGGAAGCGCTTATTCCACTGAGCCATCTCCCTGGACCCTGGTCCTACCTTTGTATAAGAGTTGGGATCTCTTTTACCCTAACACTGTGAAAGAGCTATGCGGTTAGCAGTGCCTCATTACCAAAAGTGAAGCCAAAGTGAAAAAAATGACAGTTCAGCCTGTTTAGCATCCATCAGTTTATCATCCATCTGACCCAAAAGTCTCCCTCTTTTTGGGGGGAGGCAAGGTTTTGCTGTGTAGTGTAGGCTGACCTTGAACCCACTATGTAGCCTAGGCTGGTCTCAAATTCACGTCAGTCCTCTTGCCTCAGTCTCCAGAGTTAATGACATTACAGTCAAGTGAAACAATGCCCAGAAAGCCTCCCTCTTTATGTAATAGCTTTATTTCTAGATAAAATTTTTCATTGAGGGGCTGGTGAGATGGCTCAGTGGTCTAAAGCACCTACTTAGAACAAGCTTAGCAAAGCGCAGGGACCGCGGTTCAATCCCCCAGCACCACATGCCAGCCCGCCCCGCCCCCTGGTGGGCTGAGCTGGCCACACACACACACACACACACACACACATAAATAAATAAATAAATTTTCATTGAGCAAGTGTATTTTTTTAAGAAACCTATATCTAAAACATTTCTTCTTGGTAGGATACTAAATTTCTGATTAGTCGGTCATGATTAGGTACAGTGTGGGTCTCTGGGGAGATCTTTTCATTTTTACTGTGACACAGGTCCAGGAAAGGGTACACATGAAATGTGTAGGGATTTATTAACACTTACGAAGTACTGTATATCCCTTTGTCTGCCCCCAGAATCTGCCCTCACCTTCCTTTCCTCCCACGGGGGCCACCAACAAAACTTCTAGTACCATAGTCTAATGTTGCCTGCTTTTGAACATCTACATAAGTGGAGTTGTTTAGGGTCAAGTCACACACCTGGTGCAAAAGCCAGGGTCAGATTCATTTAAAAAGAAAAGAAGGAAGACAAGGAGAAGGGTAAAAGCAGGAAGGAAGAAAGAAAAGAATTATTTCACGGATGATAATTTGAATAAATTGGATATACTCAAACATCAAAATATTACGGGCAGACCACTGGAAACTCCAGTGGCATGAATATTTAGACTTGTAGATGCTAGCAAATTAGGTAAAGCATTCTACCTACAGCAGAATCTCCTCATCGTGGTAATACTTGTCTTTCCCTTGTTACCTTGCCGTGCCAAGAGTGTGGGTGCAAAAGCTGTGGCTTATGAACATGAACGCACAGGCGCCCGAAGCTCTTTGCAAATTAGTATAAATAAAGTTGCTGTGAGAGCACAGATAGGGGCACTGCAGGCCTGACGTCCAGCCACCAGCCTCAAGCGTGTCTGGGAGGCAGCCCTAGATCTAGCACGAATCAGTATAGATAAAGAGCTGATAGATGCTTTAAGGAGCTTTATTCAGAGGATAAAAATTCTTTCTGTGGTACCAAGAGATGGGCCTCGGTTCTTTGGCCAACCAGAGGGGACTGCTAACGGGAAGCACCAGAGAACAGGCGCAATGAATAGGAAAGGGACAGATAAGCAAACCACAAAAAGCAGACATGCACCTGGAAACATGCAGTCCAGGTCCAGCGAGAGCCGGGACCCACAGCACGAGCCACCCACGGGCTCCAAGAGTTCAGCACAAGTTGGGAGAAACTCTTGCTGTTCCCAACAAAGACAGTCAGGCATCGAGGAAAAGTTCATTTAAGTTCACTTGGCTTTCAGAGGGCAGGGAATTATGCAACCCATTTTAGAAAAAGTCTCTTCAAAACAGGGTAAGAAATAGAAAGCTTTGGTAACATGTTTAAAAGGGTAAAATTACTTATCTGGAAAATGCATTTGGCTGGAACACTTTGTTTGTCTAAATCCCTGGATAAATGGGCTCTGACTGCTGCAGCTTTTGCGTGCCGATCTGCGTCTTTGCAGCGACTCCCCAGAGGAACAATTACTTAGTACAGGTTTCCATGCCACCGTCTTTTCTTCCATCTTACCCAGAATTTGTAGACAAAATAAATAAGTGTTTAAAAATAATTAGACTTGAAATTGTCACTCACATCTTTTTCCTTTTTCCTGTGCTCCCCTCAGATGACGAAGTGATAGGAGTCAGTGTCAGTGTTCGCGACCGTGAGGACGTCATCCAAGTCTGGAATGTAAATGCCTCATTAGTGGGCGAAGCGACTGTTTTAGAAAAGATCTATGAACTTCTGCCCCACATATCTTTTAAAGCTGTATTTTATAAACGTAAGTGCTTCATTTCCAGTTATTACTTCCTAGCTTATCCAGTCATTCTTTAAAAACGGAAACTGTGTTGCAAAATGAGGTGAAAACAGAATCACCTAAAATTCTATGATTCAGAAATAAATAAAACACATTTAAGTGTTTTTTTTTTTAAAAAAAGTTTAGGCTCAGAAATTAAAATAAGATTTTACTGTTGCCTAATCTTGTGTATCAGAACAGAAAATTCATATCATATTTGTTATCTCAGAAATTGAAACCTGAACTTAAATTTGTCATTCTCAGAGGAAAAAAAATTACATTGAGTTGGAGACAACAATAACAAAAATGTCACTATGTGAGCTGGCAGGTAGATATTCAATCATCCCTTCATAAACAAATTTATAATGTGTAACATCTGTATTTGTGGGGAAACCACTCAGAGCGCAGGCATGATTGAATGCTCTGCTGAAATTGCTCATGCCTCCTCATTGCTGCTGCCTGTGACACAGACTCTGAAGGGAACGCACGCATCGTGGTGATGCGTAATGGTGTGAGTCGGTGTGTGGACCCTTGCTCCCATCATGCCTCGTGTTCGTTGCTTTTGTGTGCTCTTTGGAAAACATCATCCTTCTCATAATGGAGACATCTTAGCGCTGTTAAACCAGTGTTTGGTGGATCAAGCTGCAGGTTACGCTTTGAACAGTGAGTTTCAGAAAAGGATTGACAGCCCTACACAGATGTGAAGAATTTCCTGTGTCCCAAACTGTACCTGAAGCCACTCATCCATTTTTTAAAGCTATGGTATTTCATCCAATCTAAGTCGTTCTTGATGATAAGATGCCCTGTTATTTCAGTATTACTAAGGAAGAAACAGAAAATAAACATGGTCATTCAAATAGAGGAGGGAGGTAGTGTTCGCAGGGAGCATCTTAGAATTGTAGAAATGCACTACATGAAAATCTCTTTTCTCAGCTGCTTGCCAAAAAACGACCTTAAAACATCCAGTTTTATATCATAGCAGATAGAAAACACAGGCCTTCCTGTAAGGAATCACACACCTGATAGTGACTCAGGCTGTACAGCCTGCCATCATCAGGAGGCTCTGATCCTCGAATTGTAAATGAAAATTTAAATTAAAAAGATGGGGAGACAGCACTGCATATGTTGGTTTGGGGTATGCAGTGTGAAAATTGCAAATTTGTTGATCCATTTTTATGTTTTAGGAATGTATCAACTGTATTCACCTCAGCCATTAATTATCAAAGGAATGTGATGATGCATTGACAGTTCTAGATGGGCTTTTCCTTACCCCTTTGAAGGTAGTCCCACACTTGGCTCCAAGGAGGAGAAATGCAGTTGGATTCCTTAAGTCAGGCACTCTAGACTTCCGTGCACATCGTCAGTGTGACCATGAACACGAGTCTCAATTTCCTCTCCTGTACTTTCTCATTCTAATATTGAGGAAGTTAGTCTTAGATGATCTCGAAAGTTCCTTCCACTTCAGGAGTCTGAATAAATTTCCATGGTACACACCGGTTAGCAGCAGTTTAGCGTGATGTGTTTTGTTAGACAAATAGGCCACAGAGCAGTTAGGCCACTTTTTGGGGCCATAGGTGTCAGGTAGGGCTGACCAAGCCTAGGATGATGATTCAACACTTAGCCATCCTGATGGCTGGGAGGAAGGAAAAAAAGGCAAATGGGGAGAAAGTTACAACTTGACCAGTTGAATCAAGCTGAATAAACACCCTAAAGGTAGATGCCATTGTCAAATTGATGAGTAATGGCTACAGGTCTCAGCAAAAATCATATTTTAATGGCACATATTAACATTTAAAAAACTCAAAGATTATTCAAGTAAAAATTTGAATTGGGATAAAACAAGCCTTTCTCCTTATTTTATATAAAGCAGGCAGTCCTTTACTTAGCAGGGTTATATACCATGTGCTTCAGAGTAATTTAGAGAAATGTCGTCAGGGCACAAATTTGTTTCACAGCATGATTTAGAAATGGCCAACTCCTGCTTTTATTTTGTCTTGTTAATAGCATCCTGGTGTAAGTATTCACAGGCTGATAGAAGCTGTGTAACTATAGACTTTCCATGTAGAAATAATCGTGATATACTCAGTCATGGGACCTAGGGGTCGGACAGAATTTAGCCATTATAAATTATGTGGTTTCCATACAGACCAAATATTTGAGTAAGAAAGTCAAAATACACACACACACACACACACACACACACACACACACACACACACCATATCAGCTCTATGAAGTTCTTCAGAGCAGCTGAATTACAAAGGTCTCTTCCTATGTATTATTTAGAGCAGGAGCTGGAAAATCAAGAACCTCAAAACAAATCCCTCCCCTCCACCCTCTCTTTCCCTCCTCACCTATTTTTGTATGGGTTTCAATAAAGAACAGTTTTTGAATGTTTAAGTAGTTGGAAAAAACCAAAAGAGGAACTATATATTGTGAAAAAGGAAACTATTTAAACGTCAAATTTTAGTGTCCATGAATAATTTTTTTTATTCTGATATTGGGGTTGGAACCCAATGCCTTGTACACATTAGGCAAATGCTCTACCACTGAGCTATGTCCTTCACCCCATGCAGGTGTCTTGGCATACACAGATGCCCATCTGTATTCATATTTTCTGTGTCTGCTTTAGTGCTATATTTGATGCTACTCCAGCATAAGGTCAGCGGTCTCCTGGCTTACAGGGGTTTCCCTGAAACTGTCAGATTGGCCCTTGGTGTTCAGACAAGGCGGCCTTCGATGGTCTGTACCACTTGCTTAGCCCATAGATGTTATAGTATTTCAGTGATGGCTGCCCCAAACTGTCCCTCACATCCAAAAGTAAAAGAAAAGAAAAAACAGATAGTCCCTGTCTCTGGATTTATAATTTATAAATTATTTTATAATTTATAAATTATTTTCTAATTTATAAAATAACATAGGTATCATTCTGTGACTCCTCTGCCTGACCCTAGTACTACTACTATATATATATATATATATAGTACTAGGGTTGAATCTTCGCATTGAGTTACATCTCTAACCCTTTTTCTTTTTTAAATTTTGAGACAATGTCTTGCTAAGTTGCCCAGGGTGGACTTGAACTTTCCATGTTCCTACATCAGCCTCTCTAGTGTTGGAACTGTGGTTGTATGCCACCTCACGCATCTTCCCAATCCATGTTTTGTTTTGTTTTTAAATGTCTGCCATGAAACATTGTTCTTAAAAACAAAAAGATGAGGGGGTACCGGGGAGATGGCTCAGTAGAAGAAGCGCTTCCCTGGCAAGCGCAAGGGCCTGAGTTCAATCCCCAGTTCCGCCAAAAAAAAAAAAAAAAAAAAAAGGAAAGTGAAATATTTATAATTATGACCGTTAGTAATGTTTGATTAAATTATGTCAAATTTAGGCCACCCTTAGGAATTTGACCAACTCAGAACAATACTGGGAATTATGAGGCACATCTTCTCTGATGTTTCATCTCAGTGAAAAGCTCTGGTAGAATACACAGAGATGATCTCAAAGAGCACCCAGCAGTAGTGTGAACCATTTAGTCCATGTCAAAAGCAAAGAGGTAGGAAGGGCTTCAGAGGCAAAGTGGCCCATCTGTCTGTGTCTTCCTAGAACAACACCACTTCCCGTGAGGTGGGGTGGGGACAAAGCATATGGGATCTTGACCCTCCCTGGGTGTTATCAGACCTTGCTTCATAGTGATGGTTAACCAATCCAGGAAGTGGATTTTCAAACTTGGCCTTCTGCCTTGGAAGAAATGTTCTTTTTCGTAGGGCTCCCACTTGTCTTTCATTTCCATTTTCTCAAAGTCTTTAAAAATATTTTTGATGGCATAATTTTTTATTATAAATTTGCTAATTATTAGCAGTTTTGCAAGACAGGCTGAAAATCAGTAGGGGCTGTGGGTGAGAAAAATAAAAGACCCATTAATTTTATAGAACTTAATTTGCCACAGAAGATGTTGAGAAAGGGGGAGGTATCATTCTTATCACTCTTGTGCGATTCTTTATTTTACTTTATTTTATTTTTGTGTCACTATTCTTGAAGATAGGCTTGTGAACTACTCTGTCCTGTGTATGCTAGGCCCCTTTCCCTGTAGTTTGTGGGGTGCATTTGCCTGCAGCATTTGCCTGTAGTACAGCATACTTTCCTCATCAGCTTGTGGGGATGAGTCATCCTCTCCCGTGAAACAAGAAGAAACAGGCAGCATGCCCATTGCTTGTTTATTCCTTGTTTTAATTTTCATTATTACGTTTCTCAGGAAATGCACGCCTTAGCTAACAGTTACTGGCAAATAAGGTATTTGAGTTCTTGCCAAGATTTGGGGAAACTAAATGAGATGCCTAGAGGAGGGTTGGCCCATCCTTTGCTTAAAGTTTTCTTTCCTTTTTTTCTTTTTTGTTTTTTTCTGTCCTTTAGCCCATGAAGAGCATCATGCTTTTGAAGGTGGACGTGGAAAACACTAATTGCACTCTGTAAAGAATTCTTTGTCCTTTGCTGATTGGTTTTGGAAACGGTCTTAACAGGAGGGAGAGTGAAGAGAAGACTTGCCGAAGCCTGGTGCTGGTCCATTTAGAGTGGGTTTCTGTGCGTGCAGATTGGGCAATTAGGACTCAAAGTAGCAGGTGGGGTAGGGGGGTGGTTATATGGGGCTCTAACGTCATATTACCTGCTTTTTAAAATATACATATATTTTTTTAGATTTCTAAATTCTCTGTTCTATTCACACAGATTTTTTCCCTTTAAAACTCCTTATTCAGGCTAATTATTGTTTTCTACACTCCCCTTTCATGGAAGCACAAGAACTTGGTTTCCCTTTCAGTAGCTCTGCTGCACCTACTTAATGAGAATGTGCATAATCATGACAATCCAGCTTTTGAAACCACACTGTACCAGGAGGAATATGAGCTTGGTGAAACCTGTCTTCTGGTTATTTGTTGTGACACATTTCTGTGTGCTGTGAGCTGGGCATTGTTTTTTCTGTCCCAGGGAAAAGGAAAACCATATTTAACCTGATTTTGTACTGACAGTCTACATATCTTATTATTTTTTCCTTTCCAAAATAATTTTTAATGATGAAAGGAAAATAATATTTCGTTCAGCTAACAAAATATAATCACACTTTAGTATCAGGATCAAACTCTTCAGTCTTTGTAACCTCTGTAGAAGAAATGTTTTAGCAGACTCTAGATTTGCCCTTCTCAGAGCAAATCTCAGAGTAGCAGCAAGGGATTTCTTTGAATAGAAAAAATTGATATTTCTGATTTAAATAGGGGGTGCTATTTTTTAATTATTTGAATTAAACTTTCAAAGTTTGGATGTGCTTACCTACTTAGAACTTTCCAAATCAACTCTAACCCACTTTGTTAAATAATCCCTCTGTCCTTCTCTTATTATGTCATTTCTGATAATCAATGACCCCTCCAACCTGGGCAGCTTTCCCTTCCATTTCATGTAGGAGCAGAAAGTCAATGCTGTTTGTGGGATGCATGTGAGCATTCACAGAGTTAAAACCTGGAATACCTCCTGTCCATAGTCATTGTTGGAGTTGTCTGTATGCATAGTGTTACACTGCCAAAGAAATCCTGGTTTTAGTGGAAGGAAATGGCCACTCTCTGGAACTCGAAGACCACTCAGAATACACCAGGCCCCTCTCTTGACTCTGCCAACCTTCTGGGTACTTTTACCTGAGAAGGAGCAAAGCTATTGTAGATGACCTTCCTGTTGGCTTAGTTTTGAGTCACTGGGATTTGTGTGCACTACACATTTCTCAAAAGTGTGATGGATGCATTTAGAGTATCACTACTCCCAAGATTTTTAAGTCCTCTTGCAATATTGACCACTAGAAAGAGGCAGGGCTACTCTATTTATTTGTAAATAAAGTTCTCCTTTCATACCTTATAAATGACTTCCAACAAAATCTACTTTAAATAGTTGTGCCCTTTCATTGAATTGTTAACCATATCAACAACAACAACAATAATAATAATAATAAAAATTTTAAAAACTACTTTTTAAAAAACGAGTTTTTTCAGCAATTTCAAAATGAATTCTAAGGATACAGAGTCCCTTTTGCAACAATGTACATTTCTTTAAACATTCAACTTGTTTTGAAATTTTTTCTCAAGGAAAATTATTCTGGACAGGAATTCAAAATTTTTGTAATATAAATATTTTTCTGGTAGATTAGAACAAAGGATATAATTGACTTCATAGTAATTGTCATATATATTTCCATAATTAAATGAATTTTGAGGAATTTTTATTTTTGAACATTAAAGCATTTGTGATGACGTGTTCAACTTTTGCATGTATGAAGCCTTTGAAGTAAAAATAAAATGAAATAAATAGGAATATTAGGCTCATGTTAATGCTTTCTAGTTTCTATTGTTTATGATTATGGAACCTGACAAGCTCACACAGTAGATTTTTGTCCCAGCAAACTTCTGCAACTATTTTTGACCCTTTGGAAAATACCAGCTGTGAGGAGGATTTAATTTGCCTCATGTCAAGAATCTATCATCTAAATTGCTTCAAGAGTAGATTTTGTCAGATTTTGCTTTGAAAATTGTTTTAATTGAATATTTAGTCATAACAGACTTTGTGTGAACTAAGCTGATTTAATCAGTTTTAAAACCTCTCATTACCTTCTTAGATTAAAGAAGCTAATACTCTTTGAGATAGGAGGAAATCTTTTGAGGGGCATGTGACTATTAGGGAGGTCCACCCCTCATGGCCAGTGCTGGGAAAAGTGGAAACTTCCTGTGAAATCCAGGTCCTTCCGGCCAAATCCTTCCCAGGCAGCCTCGTGTTCTCCACAAAGAGCCATACAGAAACCGAAGAGCTCACTCTCATCTTATAATTCCTCAGGGTCTATGAGGCACATCCAGGAAATCTGACTGAGATAATATGTGTCTTTCCTCCCATTACTCCCTGATTTCTGTATCGCAAGTGCTGGCTTACATCGGGAAAGTTTCACCCATTAAAGAAGAGGAATAATACCCCTTACAGCATGTCCATGAAGCCTGTCCATTTTCTTTTGTAAGCATTTTCTGAGGGGTTAAAGTACACAATTTTAAGATTCTCTCTTTCACTTTTACTTTCCCTCATTTTTGAAATGACATTATAGTTCATAGCAGATGTGTACATTTAATATAATGTTCCAGTTACATTCATGGTATAGTTGATAGAGAAAAAAACATCAACAAGAAAACATGACCCAATAAACTGTAAGGTCCAGTTCCCTGCCCACCTTGCCCTGTTCTCAACTTTAGCTGGTGTCTACACTGCACAGGATTACATACTTTATGGTTGAAAAAATTTTAGACATATTTGGGTTCAGTAAACACAGTATGCACCCCCTCACAACTAAGCCTTGACTGAATTTGTCCCTTTTTGAGGGACATAGGGCTAGCAAGCAACGTGGCTGGGCATTGGTCTATGAGCTACATCCTAGTTCCGGTTTCCCTATCAGGAAAATCCTCACATCTGCCAACCTAACCTCACCAACACATCACCCTTGTCAGCACTCCACATCTGCTCCAATCCTGGTCTCAGATGTGGTCGCATTATCGGACCTCTCCTGTAACCAGATCCTTGTTCTCTGCTGCTTACTCTCAGGGACTGAAGTGGTGTTAGGTCTGAGGTCTAGAAATAACCGTAGTGCTGGAAGTGGGCATTGCAGTCTGGTACCCCTCTCCTGGAGGAGCCCAACTTCTGTACAGACACAGATGTGACAACATTCTCAGTGAGCACATGGGGGCGCTGCCTTCCAGGCAACAGTTCTGGAGCAGCAGCGGAATTTATCCAGCTATGTTTGTGGAATTAAGATCCTCTCACATTTTTCTCTGAGGAGTTTATCACAACTTGATTAGAAAGTGTAAGTATTATACTTAGTGATAGGCATTCAGCACTCATACACCTAATAAAGTTTATCAAAGGTAGAAGTCTTCCAATATGCTTTAAACAACTTCAAATCCTAGGATCTCATTGTCTCTATAAGCAGTGGTGAACACAAAGAATAAAACAAACATACATAAAGGAGATATGAAAAATGTTTTACCAAGTGGTTTGCCAAAGGTAACAAATTAGGGTTTGATATTTTTCTTTTTAGCTTTCTGAATAAAACCTCTTTAAAAATATAAATCTACTCTTTACCTTATGTTGTACCTACATGATTTCACTCATTATAAATCAAAGTAGAGGACTGCCTGTATACTACTTATTAATATATTGAGCTCAATTATAATTCAGAGTTTGGCAGCTCAGGACAGTGAAGAGCCTAGATTCTTAGCTGAACATCCAGGAGGAGTAGAGGGTGAAGAGGAAAAAGACCAGAAGTGAAGTGCAGAGAAAAGTCTTTGGGAACCTACGCTCCTGTGTAGCAATTAGATGATCTCCCCCCACCATTTCCTTCGAAAAAAGAAATGCCAAAATAGATTTCTTACCCATCTGATTGGACTCTTCTGGGTTTATTATTATTTTTTATATATGCACCAAGATCTAAGAAGGCTTCTTATTTAGTTAACTCATTAATGCCCCCAAATCACCATGTCTTATGGTGCTGACCTTACTTAGTTTTTAGAAGGAAAGTGAGAAACTTAGAATATGAGAGTGGAAGGGACATTTGAGATCATCTACCAGGGCTTCTTGCCCCTTAACATTCAGAGCAATTACTGGGGTGCTTACTTACCACACATATTTCTCCACCTCCCCTAGACCTGAGAGGCCTGAGTATTTGCAGTGTCAGCCAGCTCCTTAGTGACTAGTGTCAGGGGGCTTTGGATCTCACTGAGAATCCTTGATTTTATCCAACCCCTGCACAACAGCTGAGGAAATCCCCTCACCTCTAAGCGCTGTCAGATACACTGATCTGAATGTATAGCACTAACAATCTTAGGAAAGCTAGAGAGGACTGCCTGTATACTACTAGCTTTCCTAAGACAGAAAATAACTATCATGAAGACTTCATAAATGATGCTCATAAATAAGTTGATAGTTAGGACCATAGCAATCATAAGTAGCCCACCTCAGGAGTCTATAATGTACTCTTTAATATAGAGTTGTGGCTTTTCCTTTTTATAAATATCATTTCAGCCAGTTAAGAGAAAAGAAATTAATGTTCAGAAAAAGCAGCTACTCCATATGTGCAGTAACTACTTTTCTATAATGTCTTATGGCATCTGGGGTTCAGCACCATTGAGCAAGATTAAATGAATGCTACAGAGCTATAAAGTTGCATGTAGAATAATGCAAAGCTGTTCAGATGACTATCAAAGTAGTCTGGGAATGAATTTCCATTGAAATTAATTGTCACCTTCTAAATGTAGCTTAGCAAAGCTGTTACGAGAGGGACATTTTTAATACACAGAAGTGTCAAAAATAAAATAATTATTCCCCAAACCATGTGAATGATAAGCAGAAACCATTGTAAAGTCAATATTTTTTTGTTCATCATTGCTACCGAAACTTAAAGTCCCATTGTATATGTGTGTGTTGAATGTGCCTTACTAGAATATCCAATAACCCAGCCTTTGGATATTCTATGCTCTGTGTCCTTCAGAAATCATGGGATTGCAGGAATTTGTGTTAAATGTTTTTGGTTGACTGTGCCTGAAAAATGTTGTCAAACCATTCAATGAAATGCAAGACTTCCATTTTTCACTTCTGATACTGAAGTCAGAGAATTTTTCTTGAACCTTTGGGGTAATATTTCTTTGAGTTTTATTAAGCAGAAAACTTTGCATTACAGAAATGAGAATGAAGTAAATACAGTTTTGCTGAGTTTTCTATAGCAACTAATGGTACCTATAATCTTTTTATGTACAAAAAATAATTTGATAACATTTTAAGAAGATAAAAAGTTTAGTTTTAGCACTTTTAAATTGAAATATTAAAGGACTTGCAGTTTTATTTCAATAAACTTATAGAGTTTGCTGTTTTCAAATGCATTTATTTATTTTGTGAGCATCCTCTAAATTCTTCCCAGATTTCTGAGACTTTAACCAGGTAATGTGGCTTTTAATCATTTTATGATTCTGTTTTAACATTGCTAATTCTATCTTCTTAGTATTTCTTTATAACAAGTCACTATAATTTTTCATGTATCACGGAGAACTTAATTTTATTTGAATATTGTACAAAAGAATTTCAAATTTGAACTAGTACACACTCTTCAGCCTGAGACCTCCAGCACCATTTGTCCTGAATTTAAAATCTTATCAGTTGCCTTGAAAGTTATTCATTCCTCAGAGCAATCTTACCTGTATAAGTTGAACCAGGTTTATTTGCCTTATGCTTCGGATCTTCTTGCCCCCCTCCCCATTTTATACCATCTGTGCCCTGTGTAGTCAGGGACCCTTCCACATCTGGCTACAAGCTGGTGTAATGCCCTTCCTTTTGATCTGGTTTCATCTAGTGATTTGCTCAGTATTTTTAAGGTCAGACTGAAAACTTTTCTGTTCTAGTTATTTTTGATTTTATATTGTGTGTTGTGTTTGATGTTCAGATACATGTGAAAGTTGCTTGTGTAAGTCAGTAATTTTTATTCCAGCCTTTTGCAGCAATAAGGTAAGACTAGTCTGTACTTTTCTTACTTGAAAAATGTGGTGATTTATGTGTTTAGTACAAATGTTGATTCATGCAAAAGTTCTTGCAGATTCCTAACTTGAGACTCAATTGCTGTGAATTTCTGCTCCTTTGCAAGTCAAAATTTTAACGAGTGTGTTTAAGTGTTATTAAGCTTTGCAGAACTATGTTGAGATCTTTCTAATCTGTTGTCACTAATTCTCACTCTGTATTTGGGTTTTGTACTATTGAAATATCCTTTTAATCCACAAGGTTAAAAATTTCCTCCAGTTGTGTCAATCACGTGTGTAATCTTAGTTAAGTTACAAGTATGTGTGTGGTGATCACCCTGACCCTGCTTATTCGAGCACGTACTGAAACTTTCCCCCCAACAGCTCTAATGCATGCAAGCCTTCTCCTACCGTGCCTGACAAGTAGTAAGTTCTCTATGGTACTCTGATAAGAAGCAACTGTTTCTATTTGTACTTCCCTGAGGAAAACAGCCATGGGTCTCATCTTGGTCTCTTAGAAAACAAATCTGGGTTACTTTAGTCCTTCTTCTTTATACTTTACTGAGAATGGTTTCATGTTAGAGTAAGCCAGTTACTCTTGTTGCCGTGTTGGGCTGTGTTTGGTCCGTGTGATTTAAGTGTTGCCTCCTCAGTCAGGCAAAATGAATTTACTGTTTCTTTCTGGTTAATAGATTCCTTTCAAAACAAATGAATATGCCAGCATACTCTTATTTCTTCCTCTATTCATCTTCAGACTTTCCTGTCTCTCTCTGTGGAGCAGTGGAAGATTATGCATGTGATGCACAATTAATTTTACCGTAGCAAATTTAATGAAATCTTGAAGGACAGGACAGAACACACGACAGGCTTTGAAGTTTCATCATACCTCCTTCTCCTGTTTGAGTCTGACTGCTGCCACCATGAATTCTCTGTGGACTTTATCACCTCGTGGTTACTGATGCACTTTGTGGAATGTGTTCTCAGTTGCCTTATTAGCATGGATTTTACCTTCCCGCCTAACGTGGGGTATTTCGAAGGCCAAGACCGGGCATGCCTTTCCTTTCTCAGTGATTATTTTAGTGCAATAATTGCTATTTTAAGAAAAACAAACTTTTAACTGCTTTTACTAGTGAATGTATTAGAAATTTCTGGAACACTTGCAGGAGGATAGGTCTTTTGTTACAGGAAGAATAGAAAACAGTAGCATTTACTAACCTGAGAAAGTTCAAGTATGTATCATTGAAATGTATTTCTATTTCCCATGGTCTAGCTGCACTGTGGTGCTGACTAGCTTCTTTCTTGCCAGAGAAAATAAGTTTAAATCATAAGCATGTTTAACTAGCAAGCATAAATCATAAACCTTTATAATGATAAGCACATTGGACTCTGTACCACTTGTACAGATGGTGTGGTTGAATGTGTGTGCTCCTCCTAGCAGTAAAGATGTGGACAAGCTCTTACTCCTCAATTTCCTCCTCAACTCAGGAAACTTAAATCATGTGGTTTTTGCACAAATAGGATTCTATAAAGTATGAACCTAAAGGGAGGTTCCAGGTCTTAGAAAACATGTAGGCTTTGTGATTTTTCTCTTAGTAGAGAAGGATGATAGATAATGATGAAACACTTTCAAGGCAAATATAAGGAATCAGGACAATTGCCAAGTTATGGAGGACAAGACTTTTGTGTTTTCAGTGTGTCTTTAAAAAATGAACATTACAGAATCAGATGAAATTGTTGCAGAGACTTATGAGTCCCTAAACATGGCTTAGGAGGCCGATTGTATACACGTGCTTTCAGATACAGCAAACAAAATTCTAATTGTAAGAAACAATCATACATCCTCACTAATAGTCATTGCATGCTAAAAATTTAACACTTTGGAAAACAGTAAGCCTCATATATGTACTCACTGATTTTATGAAGCATCACTTTCTAAACATTGCATTTTAAAGGCATAGAAAGCCATGCAGGACAAATGTGTAAGTGAATTGTTACAAGAACAACAACATTGTTACAACAGCAGGTCAGGAAACAGAATTTTGCCAGCCCCACCAAAGGTCCACTTCGTGGGGTTTCACTCTCTCTCCCCCTCCTCATTTACAGCCAGAGCCATGAATCTGTCCTAACTAATCCCTCCTCTCATTTCTCTCTGGCTCTATCACAAATGATAAACACCACTTAATTGTAGAAGCTCCTATACTAATGAAGAATGGGTTCATAAAGGTTATTTATAATCCTTTAAATGCTAAGTATGAAAGGATTACTACAAGCACTTGCCACCTCCATAAACCAGGGCTTCGGCAAAGTTTGACATGCTCCCATAGCATAATAATACCAATATTAATAATAGCTCATATGGGTTGAGTTCCCTGCCATAAAGTTATTCCTCCTCCAACGCATATGAGAGTGATATTATTAGTGGTCCCATTTTCTATGAATAAAACTAAGGGTTAAAGAGATAAAATAACTTGTCCAAGATTATATAATTATTCATGTGCAGAGCCAAGATATATCTATGGCTCTATCTAGCCTGGTCTAATGCTAGGCTGCCTTGATTGAAATTAAATATTTCAATGGACAAGAATTTTGAGAATTCTTATAAGAGTTTGTTTTCAAAGTAAAGGATCTATAGCTTTAAGACAAAAATGAAAAAATTACTAGCCTAGTTCAAACTTGTCCTTTCTTAGATGAATAAATTATTCAGAAAATACATGGGGCCAGGGAGATGGCTTAGTAGAATAAACGCTTGCCTGGCAGGCACAAGGGTCTGAGTTCAATCCCCAGTTCTGCCAAAGAAAAAGAAAATATAAAGAATTTGTTAGGTCATATGAGCAGTATGTGTCAAAATTGCAACCAGATCCCCAAATTTCTCACCTGTTAAAAAAATCAGCAGTCTTATATGGAAAAAGATAACCTGCCTCTTTTTTCTAACCTCCCTCTTTGCAGTAGTCATATGTGAGCAGATTTATCTTAAAAGTAGTTCCCAGCTAGGACACACCATCCATTTGCTTATTTTCTCAAGGTTTGAACTGAGAATTTAAAATCTTATATTTGAAGCTTGCTTTTCTGTCTCACTTATTGAGTGCCCAATCTGTAAGCACACATGCCTAACACTGTTCTCTGAAGAATGTACAAGAATAACACATTTGACTGGTGTGGATGGCAGGTGAAAAAGAATTACTGGTGTGGTGTGTAGGCCTTGAGCATGTTCACGGCCAGTTCCAGATTATCCCAGCACAGATGGATCATGCAAAAATCCTTCTTCTGCTCCTTACTGGTGACCTTTAACTATTTGTGTTTGCAAATGCTTCTACCAGAGATTGGAGAAGAGCAGAGAAAAGGAATTTAGTTTCTTGACAGAGTATTAGTCTTTAAAGTGTCCTAGTAAAAGGTTTGGTGGTTCCTCCATGTAAAACTATGGAAGGATTGTAGGATTTGCTCTGAATTGGACCAACCTAGAGTGCCCAACTTAGCATTGAATAATCAGAAAGAAGCAGGGCCAGTGCAAAGAATTGAGTCTGGAATTTCCTTTATTGGCTTGAAATTCTTTTGGCTTGTGCCTTGCAAGTTACTTACCTCCTCTCAGCCACAGTTTCCTCATTGTTACCAAGGACAGGCAGGGTGTCCTCAGAGCTAGTAATGATAGAAGCACCCAACACGTGGCCTGTTCACTGGCTGTCTGTTATTGTAGCCATATGATAAAGAGAGAGGACTGATCCAAGGAACTTTCTCACTTTACCCTTGAGGTACCTGTTCAGCTTACCTTGTTTGTGGTGTCATGAATCCTGGTGGCAATACTCTGACCAAATCTATAGTCTTCTAACTTCTTGTTCATTGATTTCTTTTTCCATCATACCAGAATGGGAAAAACAAATGGCGGTTTAGTTCTTTGTACCTGACTTTTGAGTTGATTTACCAACAGTAAATTAAAAACCCGAATAACCTTTCCAAGGACGTTATTACCAACATACTCAAGAACATAAGAAGGAAGTTCAGTAGATGAAAATGTTGAACAAATTCTTGTTGAAACAGTAATGTCATACTGTCCACTATGGATTGGAGATACTCAGACTTGTCATTTCAGGATAATTGT